TCATTTAGAAATCTTTAGAAACTGTTAATGGATTTATCTAATCACATGGCAAGGTAGAATGAGCAGGGCCTGACAGAGTAAGTGCTTATATTTATTTAATGAATGCTGAATTACCTGGGTTTTGTTATTCATGTCACTTTGGCCAAGACACCTCTTTCTTGGACCACTTTCCCCATGTGTGAAATGAGGATTTGGACAAATAATTGCCAAGATGCCTTCTTGCTTAACAATCCATTTCAAAACTATGTCTTCCTATACTACCTCTGGGTGGTACAATCACTATTTCTTAGACAGCACGAAAATAACAAAGCTTATTGTCTCTAAATATTTCTGTTTTTAAGTTTCAAGGGTTGTTGCCTTAATTGTTAGCAATCAGGAATTTGATAAGCAAGTCCAACTTCACCATACACATCCATACTCACCATAATTTTATAGATTTGGATAATATTATTTTTCAGCCTTGATTTTTAGACTGAAGGGCCCACATGTCTAGTGGTCTGCCTTTTCTTGATCACTTTTGCTATTCTTCTTTGGGCTTTCTTCAACTCACCTTTTCACCTGAAATGCAATAAACAAACTATACATAGATGAAGAGAGATAAATTTTGTGTCTTGTTTCTTATAATGGTTGATGAGATTCTCTGCTTAATTTTTAAAACTCTTCCTAACTTCAAAACCCTTCCAAAAGGGTTATACATTTGACTGTGACCACACACTGGACTGGTACCTACAAAGATCTCTTTCTGAGTTTAAATAATACCTAGAAGACCATCATATTAATAGTTTTGACTTTATCCCCAAACCTCACAGTTTCTTGTTCATCACCTATAAGTCACTTCTATCTACTCACAACACTGTGAGAACTCCAGTTTACCCTGTTGAGCTAGCACTATATTTCTACTTTACTTGAATGTAATCTCCCCTTTCCAGAATTAACACCAATTTTAGTATGACAAATCCTAGTCTAGATCCCTGGAGATCCTGCATCCTCCATTTCCTTGTTTTCAATTTAAGTTGTTTAGAGAATTGGCGACAGTCTGAATGAATCAGATGTTTTAGAAAGCATCTAGTTCAGCCTCTATCCAAGCAGGAACCATATTTACAAGATCTCTGGGATAGTCATCTAGCCTGTGTATCAATTCTATTTTCTTATTTCCTGTATTCTTGATGCTCTGGCATCTGGGGCCTTACCAATAGGGGAAGGGCTGCCCCTCTTAGAGTTAGCTAATTCCTAGAGACAGCAAACCACTTGCTTCAGGAGTCTGCCTTTTATTTGCAAACCAACCAATTCAGAGCCCCAACTTCCTCTCAGGCTCTCCAACTCCAAGTCAATATTCCCCTATCCTAATCACCCCAGAGCAAAGTACCAAACAATTGGGGACAGCCCCTATACTTCAGAGTCTGCTAAAATTATTCAAACTAGCCAATCCCAAGTATGCTTACCCTGCCTTGCACGTGGAAACTACAATAAAGGCGCATGCCCATGCTTTCCCCTTGCTCCTTTTGGCTCCTGACCGACCCCAATGCTTGTCAGTGTATTCCTGTGTGGCATGAGATGCCCTCTCCTCTTATGAACTCTGATCTTTTTCAGTGGCAGTTGTCTCCTGATATGCTGGCTCACCATACCTGAATAATAATAAAACATATATTTTAAAATCCCTGTTAGAAGAATTCCAGGGACCAGAGGTTCATTTCTTTGTAAGGCAGCAATTTTATCAGTGAACTAATAATAGGAAAGTTTCCTCCTATCTTAAATTGAAATCTGCTTTCCTGTACCTTCCAATACTCCTGCCTCCAGAGCAACCGAGAATTTTCAAGTGATGAACAATCAGATATTTGAAACACATCGATGATTGTCTTTCCTGAAAGACATTTGTGAGAATCACACATGAATCTATAGATTTGGGTGTTTTTTTAAAAATTACTAGTCTCTTTCTTATAATGATTAGCATTTCACAAATCATTTTGGCTTTAATAGCTCAGTGGATTGAATATTTTCTTGTAATAATCCCAGTGTCCTTATGGATCATTCATTCATTCATTCATTCATGGATTAAGCAGACCCTCAACGGCCTGGTAGCCTTTGCTGGTTTATCAGTGTCCTTTTTAAAGTGTCTACTAGAACTTTCTTCCCCATGTGGCTTACTAGCACTATTACTTCCCTGGGTCAGGGCCAGGTGTATACTGGTGACTGGCATGGCATCAACTAAAGTTTCTGAATTTTTAAAATTAAATTACTGTGAAACACATGCATCCTGTAATTAAGTGACTCAGTTGTGATTCTACTGCAGCTTTTTAGATTATTTTAGCTATGAATTTAAAATTCACCATTCTCTAGTGTACAGAGCTTCCTCCAGAATTAGTCTTTCCTCTTATTTTTTAAATTATTTTTTATTCTCCAAACAATACGCTTATTATATGAAATTTATTAGGTAAATATAAAACTGTAATCTTATTCCCAAGATAGATATAATATTTTGGTGTATATCACTTCATACTTTTTCCCCCTATACATTTGGGTCTAGTTTTTGTTTTTAATGGATCATACCTATATAATAAAAGCCTAAGCAACTGTTACAGCAGAACAACCAGAGTGACCAGTCGCTTTGATGTGCACTGACCACCAGGGGACAGACGCTCAACGTAGGAGCTGCCCCCTGGTGGTCAGTGTGCTCCCACAGGGGGAGCGCCACTCAATCAGAAGCCAGGCTCATGGTTAGTGAGTGCAGCAGTGGTGGTGGGAGCCTCTCCTGCCTCTGTGGCAGCACTAAGGACCAGCGAGCTGAGAGGGCACAGGCCGGGTTGAGGCCCCCCCCCCCCCAACCAGGGCACGAATTTCATGCACCAGGCCTCTAGTTATATATACAAATGTTTAACAACTTCCTTTTTTCATTTATCAATATATCTTGGATATTCTAGAGCCATACTTACAAATAAGTTATAATTAGCAGAGTTCTTTGAGGTCAGTGACTATCTTGTTTAAGTATTTATGAAACACATAGATGATTCAATTGTTGAATGACTACATTATAATGATTCCTACGTAACTACAGACTATACATTTCAGCTAATGCTGGAATAATTTTTCCTTTAAATTTTTATAGAATTCTTGGATGGTGTGTTTTTATTTATATTTCTAATGACACCTAACATTGCTGTGTTTATACCTATTTAAATAACTTGATCCCAGTTATTTTAAAAGAGCAAGTTTAAGGGGAGTCACATATGCATTAAATGGAAGAACAATAGTCAACTGATTCTACTATTCTGTTTCCATTCATTCACATTAACAGCCCAGTTAGCTCCCAAAGGTAGTTGCCAGCCAGTTGCATAAATAATGCAAACTGATAGAAGTGGTAATTGATGATATCCCATTTATGACTATGTACCACAAATTCCAGTTTGGATTACAGATTTTCTTCTCATAATAATATCTAATGTTTTGCATTATTTAAAAGAAGTTTTGATTTAATGTGTTTTATCAAGATTTGTCAAAGATTTCACTAACATTTTTAGCTATGCTTTTGCTGTCCTTATCTAGACTTGAAATAAGAAGTAAACATAAAGTAAAAAGAGATGTGAGCAACAATATCATGCATGTGTCTGTTTTTGTTAATGATTTAGAAAAGCTTTAATTCAAATTATATTTTATATTATTCTTAAATGAATTTAGAATAGTTCAGAATCCAAGTTGAAAATATATTCAAATAATCTTAAGTGATAAGCCAAAGGCAGTTAAAAGCCAAATTCTCCTCCTCTGTTTTTAATATGTAAACTGATAATTTATAAAATTTTCACATATTTAACATTACAAATCCTTTGCAATGTTTAAGCCACTTAAATAACATGGGTAAATTATTTGCAGTCTGAGTAAGTGCACTAGTATGAATAAATGGATTTTTTGCAATATACAAAATCAAGACAGTGGGCAGTGTTCTCTTCAGCCAGAAACAAATGAAGGTCTTTGTGTGCTAAAATACAAGAATGCTTTATGTCCTATCTACATCTATATTTAGCTATTATTAAATATTTAAGCTATGCATATAAACCGTACTAATATTCTATTGGCTTCATTTTAAATTTCTCCTAGTTCAATGTAATTTTTTTAATAGACTTTATTTTTTAGTTTGGATTTACAGAAAAATTGAGGTTATTACAGAGTTCCCATATATCCTTTCCTGCTATTAACATCTTACATTAGTGTGACACATTTGCTACAATTAATAAATGAATATTGATACATTATTAACTAAAATCCATAGTTTATTAAAATTTCCTTAGTTTTTACTTAATATCATTTTCCTGTTCCTGGATTCCACATTACATTTACTTGTCATGTCCCCTTAGGCTCCTCCTTGGGAGTGACAGTTTTTCTGACTTTTCCTTGCTGTTTTTATTTTTTATTGTTGAAAGTATTACAGATATCCCCAGTTTCCGCCCCCGCCCCCCATTGACCTCCTCCACCCTGTTCCAATCCCCGCCCCCCCCCTCCCCCCCGCCAGGCCTTCACCACCCTATTGTCTGTGTCCATAGGTTAGGCATATATGCATACAAGTTCTTTGGTTAATCTCCTCCCCACACATTCTTCCTCTGAGAATCCTTAGTCTGTTGCATGCTCCCATATCTCTGGATCTATTTGTTCATCAGTTTATTTTGCTCATTAGATTCCACATATAAGTGAGGTCACGTGATACTTGTCTTTTTCTGACTGGCTTATATGATTTAGCATAATACTCTCCAGTTCCCTTGTTTTTTGTGACCTTGACAGTTTGGGGAGATATTGTTCAAGTATTTTGTAAGATCTCCCTGGAATGTGTATGATGTTTTTCTCAAGTTTAGACTGAGGTTAGGGTTTTGGGAGGTAATTTTCCTAGATACCTAGAGTTTAAAAACACATCTAGTCTTCCTCAAACTGTTCCATTGACATAACTGATGTATCATTTTTGGTACTGTGACTATTCTGTATGATCAGAGGCAGAAAAGATAGTCGAGAAAAGAATATGATGATAAAAAAAGGTATGCTTTAAAAAATAACTAAGAGGTAGATAACATTATAAAGACAACAAACAGTCATTTCAGTTTACTTTCTTAAGTAAGCATATTCTCTATTAATTAAAATTACTAAGAAAGACAAAAATGCATAAATATTATAGTTAGTTCGGGTCTATATACAGGGTTGGGCAAAAGTAGGTTTGCAGCTGTGAGTACATGAAACAGTTTATTCTTGTATTATTATTTATTAATTATTGTATTATTTTCAATATGAACAACCTTCAGAGGTAAAATTTGGGATTTATGTTAATAAATGTTAATCAAGTATATCAATGTTTTCAAAGCACAATATCATGTGTTTGTCTACCAAATAAGCAAAAAAATAAATACTGTACAGGATTCTCTTATCTACAGGTCAAAAATAGTTTGTCTTAAATCCTTAGAAAATTTATAGTAGACAACCATTCTCAAAGAATTCTCTCTTGAGCAGTGGTTCTCAAACTTTAGTGTGTATTAAAATCCCCTGAAGGGCTGTTCAAACACAGATTCCTGGGCACTATCCCCAGTAGTTTCGGATTCAGTGAGTGGAGCCTGAGAATGTGCATTTCCTGCAAGTTCCCAGGTGATGCTGATGACCACACTATGAAAACCACTGTGTTGGAGTCAACAAGCAAGCTACATTCATTAAGTGCCTATGATGATTAAGGTGTTTTACATATATTACCTTATTTAACTAGTTATAAAATGTTATTAAAAATATGATTATTTATTTTGTAAATGGGGTATCTTGGCTGAGAGAGACTGAAAAACTCGCCTGAGGAGATAATGGAATTAGGAGGTAAAACTACAATTCAGAGCTTGGATTCTAATGCCCATGTTTTTCTAGTACAACATATGGATCCCTTGTTATCGAAGGAGTGAAATGCATGCATCCTTGGCATGTTCATTTGAAAAGGAGACTCTACTGAGATGTGTACAGTGATTACTTTGGGTTAGTAGGGTATAAACTCAAAGATTCTTGCTGAAAATTATGTAAAGGCTTAGGGTCATGAAGAGGATTCATTTATCTCTAAAGTTCTGAAATAATTAAGGGTGAAGTGAATTTACTGTATAATTAACAGAGCAGAAGAAAATGTATTTAATATAGTACTGAATATTCATTAATTACTATTATTTTATTATTCCTTACAGAAAAAAATACATTTAAATAAAAGTCCCTAAAAGAATAATCTCATTTACATTTAAGTTTAAAGCATCCCTATTCTAAGTGTCTGCCAGTGTGTACTCTATCACTAATCACCACTACTTACTCTGGAATTGAAGTAACACAGCATAATGGTCTTCAATACTAGAACACTTATCTCTTTTCACAAAGCAAATCAAAAGCAAAGACATACAAACAAACTAGGCAATTTAAATTTTAAGAAAATGATACATCTCACAGTAAATAAATTGCTAAAAGTGAAGTTGCCAATAATATAAATCTCTGTCACTTGTTATACTCTATAAAAAAGAACATGAGACACAAAATTATTGGACTGCAAACTTAAAATAGTTAATGAGATCTAAACTTCAAAATGACAAAAACCCACCCAACTCTACCAAAACAAATAATTTATATAAGACAGATTCCCTTTTAAATATATATACATATTTCAACTTAATACTGTTAATCATACCCATAGTTACATTTACTTAAATAAGAATTAAATAAACTGCCCAAAATGCTGACTTCATATCACAAAACATAAGTACTTTAAATCACAATTTTGGGGTGATATATTGAACACATTGGTTCCTGAAACAATATTAACAAGCATATTTTTAATAATATATTTTCATCTATAAGTCAGGTAAAGCTTTATTAAATGGTAAACACTTTTAACAGTGCAGAAGTACAAGTTTCAAAAACAAATACATTCAGAAGATCTGCTGTTCAAATAGTATTTTTTCAAAACCAGGTGGAGGAGTATGATAAAATTCACTGAACTGGCAATCCAAAATTGCACTGTCATCAACTAGAGATAGAAAAAGACAAAATAAATTAGAAGCAAACACCTTAATTTGTATGAATACATAATTATAAAATAAACTGTTTTCAGAATACCATAATATCAATAGGCAAAAAGAATAAACACATCTACTGCCTAGGTTACAAAACATGATCCTATTGGGTAAAAATAGCCACAACAAGAAACAAAATCTATCAAAAACACTGAAAGGCTATACATCAAAATATTATTAATAATTATCTCTAAAGGGTGTGATTATGGGTAATTTTTTAAAAAAGATTTTTTATTGATTTTTTTTTAGAGAGAGAGGAAAGGAGAAGGAGAGAGAGAGAAACATTGGTGTGAGAGAGAAACATTGATTGGTAGTCTACCAGGGACCAAATCTACAACCTAGGCACGTGCCCTGACTGGAAATTGAACTGGCAACCTCTTGGTGAACAGGATGACTCCCAACCAACTGAGCCATACTGGCCAGGGCATACTAGGGGTAATTTTAATTTTTCCTTATTTGCCAATTTGTATTTTCTAAACTTTCTACAATTAACATTGTTTTAAAATTTCATTTTGAAAAAAATTATAGCTCCACAGGAAGTTGCAAAAATAATATAAAGTCCTCAGGGGAAACATCTTACATAACTACAGTACAATATTAAATCTAGAAAACTGACATTGATAAAATACTGTTAACTAGTCTCCAGGCCTTATTTAGCATGTACATGTTTTTACCAACATTTACCCAAAATAAATGAATGCATATAGCCATATAAAGACTTATACATGAATGTTTGTAACAGCTTTATTTTATTTTTTCAATCCTCACCTGAGAACATGCTCATTCATTTCAAAGAGAAGGGAACGAAGAGAGGGAGAGAAAGAGAGAAGGAGAGAAGAAGAGAGGGAGAGAGGGAGAGAGGGAGAGAGGGAAAGAGAGAGAGACATCCATGGGTTGCCACCTGTATGTAACCTGACTGGGGATCGAACCCAATCCTAGGTGTGTGCTCTGACTGAGAAATCGAACCTGCAACCACACTGGCCAGGGCAGTAACAGCTTTTATTTTTAATAGCTAAAACTACAAATAACCTAAATATCCATTAACAGATGAAAGGAAATACAAATTGTGATACTTCCACATAATGAACTATACTATTTGGCAATAAATAAATAAATAAATAAATAAACAAAGCTGAATTATTAATGCTATAACACGAATCAATCATAAAATAATTATGCTGAGTGAAAGAAGCCAGACAAAATAATAATACAAATTGAATAATTCTGTTTATATAATACTCTAAAAATGCAAGATAATCTACTGTGATGGAAAGCAGATCAGCGGTTACCTGGTTGGGGCTGCGATGGGGAGAAGCAAAGGATTATACGGGAGCAGGAGGAAATTTTTAAGGGTGATAAATATGTTGGCTACCTTGACTATGGTAATGACATGGATGATCACTTTATAGCTCTTGTCAAATTGCACAGATATATTTAATGAACATTACTAAATATTTTATATTTCATAATAAATGCTGAAAAAAAGGTAAGTACTGGATTTGACATTCTTGAAGTCATAAGTGATTTTAACAAGGGTGGTTTCAGTGAAGTGGTGGTAAAGGCAGCCAAACTGGATTGAAGAACAAATGAGTGATACAATAAAGACAGTGGTATAGGCTATCCAGTGGTCGGCAAACTGTGGCTCGAGAGCCACATGTGGCTCTTTGGCCCCTTGAGTGTGGCTCTTCCACAAAATACCCCGTGCGATTGAAACTTGGTGGCCCATGCGCAGAAGTCGGTTTTCGGCCTGGGCGAGTCTATTTTGAAGAAGTACTGTTGATATTTGGGTCTGTTGACTAATGAGTATGCTGACCCCTAGACTATTCTATAAAAAATGCAGCCATGTCGGGAAGGATAAACATAGGACTAGTGGGGGTAGAGTTTAAGGAATAGTTGTTCAGATGACAATGATTCAGAATGCTTATAGGCATTGAAGAGAGAGGTTGATGACATGAGATACAGACGAAGAGCTGAAAAAGTGAAGTCCCAGAGTTGGGGAGTTTTAAGTCTAGATTACAGAATGAGTTTTCCGAACATGAAGGGCACCACTTCCTCTGAGAAGGGATGAAAGGAGGCAAGATTGGAGTCGATCCAGAAAAGCTTCAGGAAGGTAGGGAGGGAAGGTGGAACTCTTGATAGCCTGTTTCTTTATAAAGTACTAGAGGCCTGTTGCACGAAGAGATTCGTGCAATAGGCCTTCCCTTCTCCTGGCTGCGAGCACCGGTTTTCCTCCGGCACCCGGGACCCAGGCCTTTGCTCTGGCCAGAGCCGCCTTCCATCTTCCGTCTTCGCGGCCCCAGCCGGAACCGCCGTCCGTCTTCCGTCTTCGCTGCTCCGGCTCACCTTCAGTCTTCGCTCCGCCACTTGGAACCTATGTATGCAAATTAACCGCCATCTTTGTTGGCAGTTAATTTGCATATCGCACTGATTAGCCAATGGGAGGCGTAGCGAAGGTACGGTCAATTACCCTGTTTGTCTATTATTAGCTAGGATAGGGTAAGGTCATCTGCAGAGAATTGAGTAGGAAATTCAGGAAGCATAGTGAAGGTCTGGGATGTTTAGAGATGTAAAGGAACTGCCACAAATATTGAGAGCTTAGATTACACTGGAAGTCAACTTTGCAATGACACTTTTCTTCAGTGTTATACAATTTTTCTCTCCCCAGTGACTGAATGTAAGAACAGATGAAATGAATGGCTGGATTGATCTAGAATTAGGAATGGGATGGAGAACAAAGGGTAAGGAAACTTAAGTTTTACATTTATATGTGATAGTATCAGACTACTAAAATATTTAATTGCACTGATTTATCAATTCCAATTTATAAAACACTAGAGGCCCGGTGCACAAAAATCTTGTGCGACTTGGGGGGGTCCCTCAGCCTGGCCTGTGCCCTCTCGAAGTCTGGGACCCCTTGGGGGATAACCACCTGCTGGCTTAGGCCTGCTCCCCGGGGATTGGGCCTAAGCTGCAGTCTGACATCCTTAGTGCTTCTGAGGAGGCGGGAGAGGCTCCCACCACCACCGCTGTGCTGGCAGCCGTCAACCTAGCTTGTGGCTGAGCAGAACTCCCCCTGTGAGAGCGCGCTGACCGCCAGGGGGCAGCTTCTGCATTGAGCATCTGCCCCCTGGTGGTCAGTGTGTGTCATAGTGACCAGTCATTCCCAGTTGTTCTGCTGTTAGGGTCAGTTTGCATATTACCCTTTTATTATATAGTATAGAGGCCTGATGCATGGGTGGGGGCCCGCTGGTTTGCCCTGAAGGGTGTCCCGGATCAGGGTGGGGGTCCCGCTGGGGTGCCTGGCCAGCCTGGGTGAGGGGCTGATGGCTGTTTGCAGCTGGTCACACCCCCTTCAGGGTTTGGCCCCATGGAGGTTTGGCCAGCCTGGGTGAGGGGCTGATGGCTATTTTCAGGCTGGCCACACCCCCTTTAGGGTGGGGGAGTCCCCACTGGGTTGCCTGGCCAGTCTGGGTGAGGGGCTGAGGGCCGTTTTCAGGCTGGCCAAGCCCCCCTGGTGACGGAAGCTCCCAGCCTCTCCTTTTTTTCTTTTTTCTTTTTTTATTCTGAGATTTATTTACCTTCTATAATTGAAACTTTGTTGCCTTCAGTGGAGCTCAGAGCCGGCTGCAGCAGGCGGGAAGCTTGGCTTCCTCCATCACTGGGGCAACCAAGCCTCCTGCTCACTTCAGCTTCATGGCCACGGCCGGCTGAAAGCAGGTATCTGGGGTTTATTTATCTTCTATAATTAAAACTTTATTGCCTTCAGTTAAGCTCAGAGCTGGCCACGGCAGGCGGGAAGCTTGGCTTCCTCCATCACTGGAGCAACCAAGCCTCCTGCTCACTCCAGCTCCGTGGCTGTCAGCCACCATCTTGGTTGGGTTAATTTGCATATAGTCACTCTGATTGGCTGGTGGCTATGGCTTAAGGCTTAGCGAAGGTACGGTCAATTTGCATGTTTGTCTTTTATTAGATTAGATACCTTACTATATATAATTTATTACCTACAACTTTATTATATTAAAAATAATGCTGAATCACATAAACAATTTACAGTGATAATTTTATTTGCTACTCATTTATATACTTCAGTCATTCTAGTAATATTTATTTCATTTCTCAGGCTAAATGATTTTTAATATTAAGCTACATTTCCATTTATTTAAGTAAATGAAGGAATTGCTTTTAGGTGTACCCAATATAGAAAGAAAACTAACCTACATAGAGTTTAAAAGTACACCTTTGCCCTGGCCGGGTGGCTCAGTTGGAACGTCAACTCATACACTAAAAGGTTGTGGGATCGATTCCCAGTCAGGACCCCTGGAGACAACCAATAGATGTTTTTCTCACATCAATGTTTTTCTCTCTCTCCCTTCTCTCTAAAATCAATAAACATATCCTTAGGTGAGAATTTAAAAAAACAACAACACTTTTACATGGAAAGATACAGAAGGTAAAATCACTGAAAAATAATTTATTAGAGAAAAGAAGACTAATAAAAAACTTAATTAAAAAGTAAAGCACAGGCTCTGATAGTTATTACCATATTGTTAAATATTTATATTTGTTATTATTTTTCTGACATCCAAACATTGTTAATTTTCTAGGAAATTACTACAAAAAGTTAATAATTAGTTTTCATTATGGCTCAATTCTAAGAACTTAAGTAAGGTAGTTAAATGATAAAATACTTTTAGATCTACTAAAACCATGTACCTGTTGATTTTAAAGTTGTTAATATAAAAAAATAAAGCAGAATAGAATGATAAAAGCATTCTGGCTTTTTTTAAAAAAAGAGAGATACCTTATTTTTTTGGCATTTGTCTCAAAATAATGAAGAGAGAGAGATGAAAAACAATAGGAGTGTTGGGGTTAGATGAAATCTAATTGGCTACAATAATTGTTTGAAGATTGGTGGGTACATTTAATATTTTCCATTATAAAAATTAAAGTAATT